CTGTCAGTGTGAAAATAGTGCCCTCTAGTGGCTGTCAGTGTGAAAATAGTGCCCTTTAGCAGCTGTCAGTGTGACAATAGTGCCCTCTAGTGACTGTCAGTGTGAAAATAGTGCCCTCTAGTGACTGTCAGTGTGAAAATAGTGCCCTCTAGTGGCTGTCAGTGTGAAAATAGTGCCCTCTAGCGACTGTCAGTGTGAAAATAGTGCCCTCTAGCGACTGTCAGTGTGAAAATAGTGCCCTCTAGCGACTGTCAGTGTGAAAATAGTGCCCTCTAGCGACTGTCAGTGTGAAAATAGTGCCCTCTAGCGACTGTCAGTGTGAAAATAGTGCCCTCTAGTGAGGCTTCGTTTTGAGGCTAAATACCAGAATTTTAGTTTAATAACGCTGTAAATATGTGTGTGTAAAAACACAGGTGATGGTGATGGTTATTGGGCTGTATCTGCACTCACTACGAAAACAATGATGACGATGATAGTGATGATTATTATCAGGATCATTATTATAATCAGTAATAGAGGTGTGCATTAGCAGTCACAACAAACAAACACCAGTAACATCCTAACATTACCATAATTGATCAGACAACACACACACATGCCTCGTCTGTGACTCCAGGCCTGGGACGATAATCAATAAATCTATTGATCGCACGATAAATGAAAATGTCGAAATAAATGCCAGCCTCGATATACAACCATGTACACACGCACGTCCGTTTGTTTTTCTAAAACAAAGCTAGACAAGTGCAGAATATGAAACCATTATGGAGTGGTTTCCAAATTGAGGGGCGTGGGCCCCCAAGAGGGCACGGCGCATTGCCGCAAACGGTCGCAACGAGGCAGAAATGAATGTCAATTTAAAATGTTTTCTGTATTCACGCTGCAGCGATGACATTGTAATGATCTGTAATTTTATTTCCTTTGTCCAATGAGAAAGCAGCTTTGTAGAAAGGACACATTTTATATAATGTTCGGTGGCGATTTGACAGACAGAGGGAGAGAGAGAGCGTTCAACAATAGTGATGTTTTTTCCAGGATAGTAATAGCACATTAATAAATCACAGAGAGGGAAAAAAGTCAATTAGAATATCAATCATCCATTAACCATTTTATCGTTCTGGTTCATGACTTTGTTAAAGTGCATGTTTTTTTATTTTATCTCTCATCTCGTCTGCGACGTAATTCAAAAAACCCAGTGAAAAACAGTGCTGTATTTTTCTGCTCTCTGCAGGAAAGTGAGTCCTTTTTATTAATGTGTTTACTTTTTGAGTAAATAGCCCAAACTTCACTCTGTTTACCGCGGTTAGTTTTCTGCTTGGTGGAACCTGACGTGTGGCTGTTTGGTATTAGAAATATTAAGGCTCCAACCAGGCAGAAACGCTTGGCCTCCTCACTGATGGATTTGTCCCTGGTTTGCCGCCCGGAATTAGACTCCGACTCAGGGTTCTCTGAATGATTCTGAATAAACCAAAAAGACCCCGATGTGAAATATTAATTACAAAACAGCCAACAACCACGCCAACATAGAGAAAGGTGTCATAAAAAGTTGCCCGCGATGAATCCAACAAGCACAATCACGGAGACAATAATTAGCACTTGTGAAAACGATAACAGCAGTTCAGGAGGGGAAAACGCACCAGCGTTTCCAGAACAGTCTTAATTTATGCACACTCATCTGTGAGAGAAACAAGCCCCCGTCTGAATATCTATCAAACACATGACATTTAGCCTTTGTACAACAGTCAGTGTTCACCATCTTATAATGGATCCCAGGGGGCGCTTTATGCACAAAGAAACCACCACAAAATTGCTGCTTGCATTAATTCCTTTTCTGTTTTTTTTTTTAAAGGCATAAAGTAGATCTGCTTGGCAGCGGCGTTTTTAACCACAACGCTTGAAACACAAATGGAATACTGATGATTTTTTTTTTCACTACAAATTCCCACAACTGGACATGATGTACAGCATTGCATGTGTGTGTGTGGATGCAGTGCTTACCTGGGGTTGGAGTGTTGGAGGGGGTTCATTTCACTCTGATAGTTGTGACCTTGATTCACTTGCTGGAACACAATGGCAGTTATGGAAAAAAGGGGAAAAAGAAAAAAAAAGAGAGCTTTAACTTTTTTTTTCTTTTTTCTTTTTAAACATATTGTCAGTCATTATCCAAAGCTGTCAGAGACAAAAATGTCAAAATGATTAATGATAAACATTTTAAGATTTTTGGACGTCAGTGACTCAGGACTGAACTGAAATCCACAAGATGTTTCTCTGATGTTTTTCTTTAGTAAATATATCCATGTAGGTGGGAAATGAAAGGTTCATAAAAAAGGCCGTTATAACGTTTGTTGTATGGACTACCTTGAGCTTCCTGAGTAAACAATACACGAAGAACAACCAACAATGGTGCTGATGAAAGGTTGACACGGAATAAGAAGAAAAAGAATTCTGTTCTTTGAATAAAGGTTCTGCTGCGGTTACAGGTGAAAAAAGGGTTTCTGAAGTGATGTGATATTTGTGAACATTCTATTATCACTGTTTTCTGAGAACACTGCAGCATTAATTACCCATCAGCCCTTGTTTTGTAGATATGACGCCTTGTTTTTAAAAAGTGAAATCACATGTACACAGAGTATGACTTTGTAGAACTATGTCGTAACGTTTGACAATTTGACGAGGTCTGTGACGTCAACCATCGTCGTCCTATTTTTGACTAATCCTGCTGCCATTCACGCAAAACAATTATTTTCCTCCCATTTACAGAAAGACTAATTCCATCCATAGGAAACAAATCACTTTGTGTTAAACTGAACAGTCGTTGCACTGGAACTGTTGTCACATTAGTCTGTCCATAAAACTATAAAAAAAATAAATAAACAAAAATGACATCAAAATTCTATAAATAAATAAAGATAAAGTTACCTTTAGCGTAGCAACACAACCAGGTGAACAGAAAGTGAGCAGAGTCGCACTGTAGCCATGTTCCAGTAAACAAATTAGCATACACAATTACTTGGTGATGTGTAAACTCAACCATCCACAAGGCCGTTAAACAGAGAGGAGATATTAGCATGTTCAGCCGTACGGTGCGTCTTAAGGTGTTTTTTAAACCGCTCTAATCCTAACAGAAGAAAACGTACAGCAAATCTTGTTCCTGTTTCCATTCCTGACGTTAAAATACCTCCAAACTGCTGATTTCGTTGACTTACTACAACAAACTTCTCATTAGGACGATGAGACGCAGAGCTCCAGTAGGAGACCCTCACAACTCTGTGGTGAAAACCTGTTCCAGAGTTTGTGGTCACTGGGTCTGATACTGAGAGTATGGAAGGTCTGATCCAATACGATACTGATCAAAATTTGATCCAACACCCAAACCCAAATGTTCATTTTGCTTAACCTTGTGAGCCCCGTCGTAAACAGGGACACTGTCGCAATGAAGGTATCGGATTGATATCGATATCGGCAGATACTGTAAGTTGCCGTATCGGTAATGGACATGAGGAAGTTGTATCGTGTCGTCGGTATCCAAGCGTTCCTAACCGACTGTACTTTCCTGTCCCTCTGTTAGTACTTGTACTGCAGTTCATTATGGTAAAAAGTTTCTGGACGGCGAGGCCTCAGGTGTGTTCTGTACGTCTGGCCTTGACAGATACATTTTTCATGAGCCTCGGGTCCTGGAGGCCTTTAGGTGAGGAATAATGACTGGTGGATGATAGAGAGAGGTTTGACGAACATAATAGCATTCAACAGTAGGAAACACAAGTGCATTAGAGTCTCTCTCTTGTCAAAGCTAAAAACCATATCACGGCCTCCGGGGACTATTTAAAGCCTAAAGCCTGTTTAAACGCCATTGCATTAAATTACATGACATTGACAAAGAAGTGTTCGTGTTGAGAACGCGGTGCTGGCAGTGCATAAGTAAATTTGAAGCTATCTGCGCGCTCCGCCGCTTTCATGAGATTGTCTTCTAAAAATAAGTAGAGACCTAAAATTGCACCCTGTGGAATTCTGCATGTAATATGTGCTGATGATGATGACTTACCTGTGGGATGATGGAGAAAATTCTTTTAGTGAGACCAGAGCTGAACCACATTTGTGCTTTAAGAGTTATATTAAAGCCAGCTCCTAGACTTTTATAAAGACACCGTGTTTATAGAAGACTTTTTTTTTTTTCCCTAATGGAATTTAAAGCACATCTGGTGATAGCAGTTGCAAATGTGTTAGTGTGAACAGACACACCGAGTGTGTGTGGTCAGGAGCCTGAGCACAGCTGCACTGGGTGTTTGCAGCTCCAGAGACTGTGTGATAACCATAGGCAGTTGATAAGAAATGGGCAAAGCTATCTGGTTGCAGATTATGGCTGCGAAGGGGGAGTCGGGGGAGAAGACTGATGTGCTCCACTGGATACAATAAACTAACAATAATAATGAAAAAAAAAAAAAAACCCAAACTGCTGTATGTATGTTGGTTTATGGGAAAAATGAGGCAACCTCTGGTATGATAGCTAACGCCGGGCGTTTTTCTTTTTACCGACAACAACAGCTTTAATCACTATTTCTTTGTAGTTCAAACAGAACCAAACCCAGAAAGCCAATTATTTTTGCAAGCGGGAAACAGGTTAAAAAGTTGGAGACCCACTGCAGTATTCAACCAATAATATATAACCATTTATTATTCCGTTTCACCACTATATCAGTATCAGATGATATTGGAAATTAAACGTTTGGTTTCCTTTAAATGATTGCCTTCTCCTAACAAATAGTTGCAGTGTCATCTAATGGTTTATGTACAGAACTTCACACAAATAACAATAGAATTTTTTTTTTAAATGCTAATTTATAAAGAAAGTATTGACAAAAATATCCAGGGCTTTGAATATTCTTGATTTAAAATATTGCTAATATTTATTTCAGCAAAGGAAAATTTTATTTTTCCATCTTGGCTGAAACTTGGGAGTTCAAACAGCATACATTTAAAATACTATTACTAAATACTTGAATATTTAAGACGGTTTATTATTAATTAATGTTATAAACAGAATGAGAAGTGGGTTTGTTTGCCGTACAATCTGTCTTTTCTTCTGATTATTTTCCTCCCATCTGTTGTGGAAACACAACAGGTAAAAAAAACCTCAACAACGTTTTGTTGAAGGTTTTACTACAGTGGACTCTGCTCCCTGATTTGGTGATGCTGCACCAAACACTGCCATCCATCTTACAGCTCCATCCCCTGCATTAGTGTCTCGCTAGAACCTGTTTTACTGATTTTTCTTTTGTGCATACAATTACCCTTGTTGTACAGCACATCTGCCACGGTGAAATTACAAGCTAAGCAGCACGACATTATTAGGTTTTTGACCTTAAACTGCTCTTCCCCGCCCTGTAATTCTACCCCCCCCCACACTAACAGATTTTTTTTTGCTCTATTTATCCTCGCTGGAATTTTAAAGCACGATAAAAACCTGTGCTTGCATGCTCAAAAATACAAAGTTAGTTTATTTTTATTAAAAGAGAAAGTGCAGGACCAGGTTATTCTGACAGAAATCAGGGCTTCGGGGCCGCGTTTCTAAAAGAGCCAACAGTTTCTGTGGAGCATTCATTAAGAAATAACAAGAAAAGGTGTGTTGATTTATGTCCAAGGCTGTTTCGCAGCACAGTCACTTAATTGTACAAAAGGACAGTGACTGTGATGGTATGAATGTGCCTGTGGCGATTCATCACGGCTCACCTCACTACTTTATGTTTGGTTCACAAAGATGAATTATCAACCTAGATTCTTTTTTGGTTCTTCTAATACCCAGTAGAAAACATTATCATGAAAAATAGATACCATCCTCGGCTTTCCAACCCTGAACTCGGCCTAGGGCGGAAGGAATTTGCCACTGACTACACGTTAGGAACCGTTAGCGCAGACGGCGTGTGATTTAGCCGTACAGTATGTGAGTTTAGTTTCTCTGTCAGCATCTCGTCCAGACCACCTTAACAAGGGTGGAGCTAACTGACGAAATAATATATCACAGGTGTCCCTTATTCTTTACCCACCTAGTTTAACGCTATCAACTTTATTCAGTGGGTTCATGTCAAGCTAACGAACGCTATCAACTTTATTCAGTGGGTTCACCTCAAGCTAATGAGAACACGTTGTTAAAAAAAAAAAAAAAGTACCTATAAGCTAAAAGATAATCAGAATTGTTTATTAGTTAACAATATTTTTATACCGACTACCGCTGGCTCTACGGCTAACCGCTAAAGCACAGCCTTATCAGCTGGTAGGGTAGCCGTTTAGCTAGTGCTTAACATTTACTGTAGTTAGCACTTGCTATGGTGCTAATCCGTTTTAGCCCAAGCTAATCAACTAGTGTTATTACATTTTAGCTAGCATTTTACGTACTGTATGGTGATTATTTTGTATCTATTATTTCTATCGTAGTCCTTTAATTTTTTTTTACATTTATCACTATTATTTCTATCGTAGTCCTTTAATTCTTTTTTTTTTTTACATTTATTATATGTCAACAAAGCCTTTTTTGGCAAATAACATTGTGTTGCATCAGATTTGAATAATCAATAATGAATCCAATAATAAATAAAGCTGTTTCTGTTAATCTATTGTTCAAACTTTCTTAAATAATGAAGGTTTTACTATTGTTATTTTTCATAGTTTTATATTAAATTTGACTTTGTGATCGTTCATCTATCAGCGAGTGTCCTCTTACTTTTTTTCTTTTTTTACTTTTACTATACGTATTCCTATTATTGTGCTTATTAAAAGTATTATCAAAACCCTCGTTAAAAAATACCTCTGGGTTTTGAGAACTCAAACTCCTGACATTAGTTTTCCCAGTAGAAAACTGAACCTAATTTAATGTTGCCTGGATTCTGCCGACAAGTCTGTTTTTGACAAGGACTCCTGAAATGATAATCCCCGGTGTTCTACTTTAATCTGGGGACATCATCAGATATGTTTGTACAATAACCGGAACAGATATAACATACGCCACCTACTGCATGTGTGGTGATTATAATCACTGGGGGATCCTACGGTGGCCCCCCCAGTAGATCCGGGGTTAGGGTTCCCGTCGTCATGAGTGCAGTGTGCTTATGCTAATGGACCGCGGATCTACACGACCTTCAGTAGCCAGGAGAAGGCTGCGCCACATTTGAATTCTAAAAATACTTCTGGGTGTAATTTGAAATGACATTAATAATTTTCAGTCTCAGGGGCAAACTGTGGATATTATGCCAATGTACTTGTGTTCAGCTGAGAGAGGCCGACTGATATATATATATATATTTTTATCCACCCCACATCTTTTGAAGTGCAGAAAAGGCACCGGAGGAAGAGGTAGATTAGCACATCACGGTGGCTCAACACAACAGACCTGAAGTGGAATTAGAAAATAAAGGATCGTCGTCGGAGAAATTGTTCCAGACAACTCACTCACACATCTACTTCCTGTGGATCACATGCATGCGTGATGATTGTTTTCATGAAATATTGAGCGAAGCTGGAACACACACACACACACACAGGTCTCAGAACATAATTTCTTAATGTCACCTGGGTCCAAGTGGTGGTGTCATCACTGCTTATGCTCACGCTGACATTACACTGGCGGATCTGAGATTCACTGAGGCCCGGGGCTCTACATTCATCTTCCTCCTGTTCCCGTTTCAGGCTTGCCAGCATTTGGAGTTCCTCCTCCTCCTCCTCCTCCTCTTCCTCCTTCTCATCCCCTTGTAACCTCAGACTGCCAAGCAGGTGTAAGTCATTATGACTGGAATCAACAGGCTTCGGTGGCTCATCTTCCTCCTTTAAAATGATCGCCCATAAAACAAAGATTACATATTTGGAAGCCGTCCAAAAGACAATACTTCACACACAGACTCACACACACACGTGAAACACACCCGCAGTAGTTTGTGCCGCAAACTCTAGACAGACCAAAAACTCTGCGGCGTTAAAACGGGTGATAAACATTTTCTCCTGTGGAGGTTAATCATATTGACTGGTGGATCAGGAATGCATCACGTCTTACCTGATTGGTCAAGTACTACAAATCCCACTCCCAGAGCAATTTGGCACGGGAACTGAAAAAGCACTAAAACTAAGGGTAATTCAGTTTTATATCAATTTGATAGGCGATGGCACAGGGGAAAAAAAAAAAAGAAAAGAAAGAAAAATAAATACCGCCAAAAGTTTGGTCAGAGGGAAAGTATAGCCGCTGAAAATGTCACAGGTCTGGGTACGAAAAGTACAGCGACCAAAGGACAGGTCTCTGCAACAAAGGATGAGTCGCGTCTCAGCAATTTGTACTGAACTTCACAAGAAAATATTACTGTCAAATTCAACCGAATAATTCAACGTGAAAATGTAGTGTCGCATTTATCCCCATCAACGCCGACAATCGCAGCGTTGTGGAAAGATTCAGACGGAAATCTCTGCGTAAAGGCCAAGGGCAGAAACTGCTGCTGATTTTGCTTGACCTTTGAGCCCAGAGACGTTGGTACGTCGGAGATAATGCATCAAAAATGCTCTCCGAGACTTTAATTTCATTTTTTGTAAAGGCCACTGCTGAATGTGGATGACCTTCAAGGCCCTGGGCAGCGATGCATTAGAAACTAGGATCCAACTGTGATGGACACGTCCTCAAAGGCTTGGTACTGCATCAATAAGTCGTTGTCTCTAAATACAGCCCCCTGCTGGTGAAAGAAAACCCGCTCATTAAGACAGTGATATGAACAACAGCAGCTACAACTACTGTGAAATGGGAGTTCATTTATGACGGGCCGAATCTGTAGGGTAAAAAAAAAAAAAAAAAATTTTTTAGCTGGAAAATGCTAAACCTCAGGCACAACTGACCGACCTTGTATATTTTTTAATTTATCGTTCGTACGTTGCTTTGTTAATATGATTTTATTTAGGGTTTTTTTTAAGTCCGTTGCTTTGTTAATATGATTTTATTTATATTTTTTTATGCTAATCTGCCTTTTGTTTGTTAGCAACGTCAACAAAGATCTGTGGAAAAATAATAAATAAAAAATAAACATGAATCTTGAACAGACTGTGTTTGCGTGGAGGGCCTGCCTGCAGTCCAGATCTGTCTCCGATTTCAAATATGTGTCTGGTAATAAAGTAGAGACGAGAGAAGTTTATGTTTTTAAACGAATTAAAAAAAATTGGCGAAAAAAATCCTTGCTTCAAAACCACAAAAAAGAAAAATTATAAAAATATATATTTTTTATAAGTTTATGTTTTTAAACGAATTAAAAAGAATTGGCGAAAAAAAAATCCTTGCTACGAAACCACAAAAAAAAAAAAATTATAAAAATATATATTTTTTATATTTTAATTACCAAACAACCTTAAGGGTAATTATTTGAAATAGTCATTTATTTGAGTTCACTTTTGGCTCTTTTTTTCTATTGCTAGATAAATAACTTTTTTTTTTTAAATTCTTTTTGATGGTGGTTTTATTTTCTTCATCTGTGCCTCATCAACAACAGGTGACCCACATCTTTAAGGTAAACGTCTCCTTGTAGATCGTTAAATGTCAGCTATAAATTACCCTAATGTACAATGTTCATTAGTAAAAAATGAACGTGTGCATCTATTATTTACTGTTGATGATGAATCAACCAGTGTTTAATTAACTCATTCAACAGTCAAATAAGAATTCTGCTCAGAGGATGGGACCTTAAAATTGGATTTAGTGGTTGAAAGAATATGCAAAGTGGATTCGCCCGACAAAGTGCAACCAGGCACGATGTTGCCATGGTGTTGAATCTGTGACAGCAGGTAAACACGGCGTGTGTGTGTGTGTGTGTGTGTGTGTGGAGGGGTGAAGGGGGGGGACAAACAAACCCCATGTCATATTTCACTGACAACCCTTCAGTCAAGACCATGTGCATCCTCCTCCAGTTGGCATGAATCAGTAGTCAGGAGCAGCACTGATGAAGGATTCTCCGTTATGTCTCAGTGGTGAGTTGTGTAACTGCAGACAGCAACAGCTAAGTGACAGATCTCCCTTCAGGCCCGCTGATCGCTGCGGTTGACTATCCTCTGATCCTGGATCATTTTAAGTGGAGCGGGGGCCTCCATCAGTCTGCGGCAGACTACTCTCATCTTTTTCCTTCTCGCCTCTACAAACCTCTTCATCTGTCCAAATCATTATTGATACGCATATTACAGACAAAACGATACATCCAGACAGAGACGCCACCAGAGCTTTTCCAAAGCCGAGACGCCCGCCGCAACCTCAAACCAAGACTAACATCAGTCAGACTGTAACACAGTGGGGGAGGAGAGGGGGGCGGATTCTATTTAAGTATATGTTTATTAAGGGTCACACGCTGGTGGAGCGGTTAGTACTGCTGATTTACAAAGAGAACGTCAACGGTTCAATAGCTCCATCCAATCTATACATTTTGTTTTCTCGTTTGCGGTCGTTCCCCCCTATTCTCCAGTCTCCTGCTACATTCCAAAGACACAGACCAGTGTGTTCTGGTAGACCAGTACCAGACCATGAAACACCAGGTACTAGTCTGCCAGTCCCCACGGAAAGAACTTCATCTACGTCAGTCTGGATACTATTTTATTTTTTTAAAGAATCACTTCTATACGCTCCTCTCTTCAAACCTCAAACTAACTTCAGAAAAAAAATAAGTGGAAAAAACAAATGCCGCAGGACAGCTTCTTTAAAAAGGTGGGAGCTAATGATGAGACAGCAGATGGCTCCAAAACTGCCATCAAAAAGGAGGCTGCGTTTGAAAGAAAAAAAAAACCAAAACACCGCAAGGCCTTGAAATGAAATGACATAATATCACACAATAATTGTATTCATGTGATAATGAAGTTATACATGATGCACTTAAGAGCTTATTGTGACCTTCTCTCTCTCTCTCTCTCTCTCTCTCAGATATCTCAACTGCTGGTCTGTGGGAAAAATCGTCAGGCATAAAATTGTGTCTTTTGTGCTAAAAAGGTTTGGAGGATCATTGGTCTAGAGTGTATCCCTAACCCTTTCCCAAGGACTCCTGGAAGAAGAGCCCCCCCTCCACACCTCCACCCCCCCCCCCTTTGGATGACTAAGTAAATGTGTATTTCTACAGCAGAAAAGAGTTTTTTTTTTTCCCGTCATTGTTGTTTCTGTATGTTTGTTTACATCTGGGTGTAAAGTGAACCTTGGAGTTGATCAAAGGTTCCTGTTGGTAGAAACAGTTGACAGGAGCGCTCTTTGTACGCAGGTAGAGCAACAACAACAACAACAAAAAAAAAAAAAGCCCCACAGCCAGATAAATGAGGCTCAAACCTCGGTAGAAGTCATTTCTGCCTGACGTCTCACACCAGCAGCCACCTCTTTTAATGTTACACTGATTCATATAAAACAAACTTCAGAACGCGTTTGCGTCTCTTTCTTATAAACAACATCAAAACCGCAGCTAACGGCGATGCAAAGCTGCGCTGACACCGACGCCCGGATTTTGCACTTTCTCTTAATGTTTCTGCCAGCTTTTACGTTTTTCAAAAAGCATCAGAGATAAAATAAATAACATACAGCTTGCACTTGCAAATTTAAAAGATGTGAGGTGGGAGGTCAGAACAGTCGTGATGGGAAAAAAAAAAAAAAAAAAAAAAAAAAGAACGATAATGAGCGTTCCTGCTCTGTGAGTGGCCCGTGGCCTTAATGGCCACAAAACTGAGCATCAAAATGTGAGAATTTCACAGTGATGCCAGTGAGGCCACTGGAGAGGTCTGGAGTTAATTACACCGGTGAAAATAACACTACAAATAACAACATTTTTTTTCTTCCGTCTGGTATAAAAAGTACAGTGTGTTCAGCTTTAAATTGGTGAAGAACAGATGTGGTTAAATTGAGAGGTAATTAAAAAGATTGACTTTTTTTAAAAAAATCTGTATCTTCCTCGTATTTTCAAATGGCTACGGTTTTTACATTTTTTTTTCTACAAATGAACTAGACAAAACTTAACCATTCTGAGGTAGATCCTGTAGGTGGCGGTAAAAACTCGAACAATCCAGAACAGATAGTAAAACCCAAAGTCTAGGGTCACGGGAATTAGCTTAGCTTAAATAAATAAATAAATAAAAATAATAACATATATGGAAAGTAATCCAAATGACATTTAAGACAAGAATATTGAAGTTATTTTACATCTAGTTGTAAAACTTTTTACACCAACGCAGTTTAAAAATTGTCCAATTCTCATGTGCAGCTCTAGGGGGCGCTTGAGTACCACTAATGTTAAGCAAACCATAGCTTGAGAAGCACCTTCTTAGACTTTATACAGCTCACTCAACTCATGTACCAGAACATCACAAACGCATTTACAGCACCCCCTGCTGGACAGGGGAGGGAGGTAAATGTTCAAGAACAGTGGTTGATGTACATCGTTGCATACATTTTCTTGAGCTGATGAAGTGCAGAACCTTACCTGGTGCAGAGAGGCGTCATCTGGTTCCACTTCCTGCCGGAGACTCCTGGAAGGCGCCGCTCTGCTGCTCCCGTTCTGCACCTGCTTCGCTCCACGCCCTGGTCCACTTCTGCCATGTTTGGACTCCTGCCTGCTGCTCCTCACGCCGGGTGAGAGGCAGCGTGAGGGGGCGACGGCCAGTCCAGGTCCCCCGCTGGACGAGGACTTAATGTGACGGTCAGAGACGCCGGAACTGAGCTCTCCTGGCAGCGTCTTATGGGGACTAGGAGACTTCAGGAGGTTCAAACCAGGACCAGGAGATCTGGGAGTGGACGGACTGGAGTTCTTCTCCTGGAAGAAACACAAGGAACCAGAGTTAGAGCAGAACACACTGTCGAAGAGAGGAACTTTAAACACCCAACAATATATATAAGACCCTCTTGGGTTTTTTTTTTTAAATGATTAAAAAAATATGGTGATAATTTGAGTTTGAATGACCGTGACCAGAACGTAAATGATTAAAAGTCGTATAATAACTTAAAAAAAGAAAATATTATCGTCCGTCATCTGTGAATGTTGCGTCACTGCAGATTCAAAGCCAACACTCAGTCTTAGCCTCAGTTTGGTCTAGAAATACGTACTGTATCACCTATGGTCGACCATAACAATAATAAGTAATAATAATAATAATAGTAATAATTAAATATTTTCAAATATATCAGTCACTGTTCTTGGTCTTCATTGTAATTCCTTTGTTGTTTTTTTTGAAACCCAAACCCAGCTAAGAACACAGTGGTAGCCAGTGTGTTGAAGGAGAACATAAATTATATGTGGACGGAGGGAAAGTGATTATGCTGAAGATTTCATTGAATTGGGTCACAGCTAGAATTCATTGTTTGGAGTCACAGCTGCGGTCGTCCACAAAGGAGCCGGCCACTAAGTTATCAGCACTTCTTTTCTCGCATTTGATTAAAACCTAACTGCAAAGGCCCCAAATTGTTCCCACTTAATGGAATATACTGAGAGAAATTTAATGAAATTCGATTGCATTTCTTAAAACCTTTCCGAAGTAGAACTCGCAGAAATATATGTAAGCTTTCTAACAAAAAGAATATATTTTTTGGGGGGAAAAACGGTGGAGAAATATTCCTATGTACGACTGTGGGAAAACGACGGCGTGTTTATGATACGGCCAACTGCGGCGTACATTCGCCCTTTAGTTGAAAGCCTATCAGAGCCCACGCTGATTCATTTTAATCCCATCTGCTCCATATGGTGTTCATGTTGACCTCTGCTCGGTTCCTTATCATTTCATAAATGCAACTGAAAAAAAAAAAAAAAAAAAAAAGCAATAAACTTCATGAATTATTTAAAGGGCCTTATGTAAGTGTGAGTGAGACGGATGAGCGTTTTTTGTTTTTTTTCTGTTTCGTTATCAATGCACCAAAATAAATTACAGCTATTACTTATGGCTGATTTTGATCCACCGTAATTGTATTCTGTGCATGTCAGAGTCATTGTGTTTGTTTTGTTTGCCTTTTAATATTTCTCTGTGTTGAAGAACAGATGTGGGGCTCGGAGGAATTGTAAAAAAAATCTGATGCAACACCTTGAAAGCTGATTTTTCTCCCAGTCTGGAGTCGAGCAACCTGCCGAAAATAAAGATAAATCACAACGAGGCCCGTCTTCATCAGGTGGGTGGGAATGGTTTGGACTTTTTAATGGCCTCAGCATCTAAGAAATACAAACTGAACCTTTCAGTCCACCTGCGTGTGTGTGTGTGTGAATGGTGAGAATTGTAATTAGGTCAAGGTTAGGGTTTGAGTCCCATAAGTCTCTCCATTCGTCTTCTACGTTTTCTGCTGACAAATACAAATATGAATACAGATATTTCCATGTTGTTGTTGAATACATTGATACTATTTTTGTATTGTTTTGTTTCTTCATGTTTTAAAGATAAAAAGTACACAGGGATTTTTCAAACAAAAAAACAAACAATAAATCAGATACGCTGATTCAACAGATTTTTCTGTATGATTATTCAGGATATTTTTTGGAGGATAGGAAATATTTCTATCAGCAGTAATGGAACTCGTTCGTTGCCTTTTGAGGTCAAAGGTTGGGATAATGCGAGTACCAGAATAGACCATCAGTGTTGTTCTACTTTTCTGGTCCACCTTCACGGTGCATAGACATGAAGTTTGAAGTGCGACACCACCTTCACGGTGCATAGACATGAAGTCTGACAAAGAATCACGCAAAAAAAAAGATCCCACAGTGAAATCAGCCACAGTCAACTGATCGAAGTCTTTCAAGGTCCACTAAGGTGTAAAGGGTTTGTCACAACACACTTTCATTTAGGGATCAATATGTTTTCACTTCAATATTTTTAGTCCATTATGATGATTTTAACACATTTCTGGCAGGTCAAGATATAGTTTTTTTTTTTTTGCATAAAGTGGACGCTTTGGCTTTGGAGGACGTCTTTATTTTTCAATATTTTTCAATTAAAGCCACAGTATAAGATGATGTATTTTTTAGTCTTTTTTAAAAAATTATTATCATTTTTTTTAATCATTTTTATGTCTGCACTTATTGTGGTTAATTATGACTTTATAGGACATTACATATTTTCAAAGTATTATTTCTTTTTGCTAATTTACGACATAATGTTATACTGTATGTTCATGTTCCTGCATTACACACATAAGAGTAGGTTTCACAGTCATTAGGGCATATTTTTGAGTTATGATCAGCAATAAATGTCAGGAGAGAAAGGCTTAAGCATAAATTTCTTACTTATATTCAAGTAAATAGGTTTCATTGGTGGAGCTGAAAGACGCAATTAAATATTTGCTCATGATGTCACTTTGCCGTTCTGAAGCGAACACATCATATGAAGCCGACCGTTGAACGAGACGTAACGCAGCCTCTCAGCGAATTCAAGGACGACCGTCATTAGTGTCAGATCCACGTATTTCAGATGTGCATTCTAAGTACACTTCACTAGTGTTCCGGTCCAAAAGTACCTCATCACTTTCGCTGCCGATAAAGTCATCTTCTGGTCGCGCCTCGTGTCGCTGCCCACTCCCGCTCTGTGCCTGATCAAGTCCCTTCTCCATTTTCTCCTGGTCACCCTGGCCTTGCCCTCGTTTGGGTGAGTGAGGCTGCGATGAGAAACTGAACACCTCTTCTTGCAGGGTGAGCTGGGGCTCCGACCCTTCATTACTCTCCCAGCTACTCCAGGCCTGCAGGTCACGGGGCAACGCTGCCCGGGGGGGGCACGAGGGAGGCTCTGACGTGGGGGTAGTCAGTCTGAAAATGTCCTTCGTGGGACTGAGGCTGAAATCATCTGAAAAGAAAAAAAAAAAAAAGGACCCAGGAGAATTTAAAAACGAGGGAAACAGGACTATTTTTGACATGAGGTTAAAAAAAAAAAAAAGGATCCAGGGAAATTTAAAAATGGGGGAAACAGGACTATTTTTGACATGGGGTAAAAGAAAAAAAAAAAAAAGGACCCAGGAGAATTTAAAAATGAGGGAAACAGGACTATTTTTGACATGGGGTTAAAAAAAAAAAAAAGGATCCAGGAGAATTTAAAAACGAGGGAAACAGGACTATTTTTGACATGAGGTTAAAAAAAAAAAAAGATCCCGGGAAATTTAAAAACAAGGGAAAAAGGGCTTTTTTTTGCATGGGGTTAAAAAAAAAAAAAAGGACCCAGGAGAATTTAAAAACGGGGGAAACAGGACTATTTTTGACATGAGGTAAAAGAAAAAAAAAAAAAAGGACCCAGGAGAATTTAAAAATGGGGGAAACAGGACTATTTTTGACATGGGGTAAAAGAAAAAAAAAAAAAAGATCCCGGGAAATTTAAAAACAAGGGAAACAGGACTATTTTTGACATGAGGTAAAAGAAAAAAAAAAAAAAGGATCCAGGAGAATTTAAAAACGGGGGAAACAGGACTATTTTTGACATGAGGTAAAAGAAAAAAAAAAAAAAGGACCCAGGAGAATTTAAAAACGAGGGAAACAGGACTATTTTTGACATGAGGTTAAAAAAAAAAAAAAAGGACCCAGGAGAATTTAAAAACGAGGGAAACAGGACTATTTTTGACATGAGGTTAAAAAAAAAAAAAAACGATCCAGGAGAATTTAAAAACAAGGGAAAAAGGGCTTTTTTTTGCATGGGGTTAAAAAAAAAAAAAAAAAGGATCCAGGGAAATTTAAAAATGGGGGAAACAGGACTATTTTTGACATGGGGTTAAAAAAAAAAAAAAGGATCCAGGAGAATTTAAAAACAAGGGAAACAGGACTATTTTTGACATGAGGTTAAAAAAAAAAAAAAGGATCCAGGGAAATTTAAAAATGGGGGAAACAGGACTATTTTTGACATGGGGTAAAAGAAAAAAAAAAAAAAAGGACCCAGGAGAATTTAAAAACGGGGGAAACAGGACTATTTTTGACATGAGGTAAAAGAAAAAAAAAAAAAAAAGGACCCAGGAGAATTTAAAAATGGGGGAAACAGGACTATTTTTGACATGAGGTTAAAAAAAAAAAAAAAAAAAGGATCCAGGAGAATTTAAAAATGAGGGAAACAGGACTATTTTTGACATGAGGTAAAAGAAAAAAAAGAAAAAGAAAGATGTGGTTTGTTTATCATGACATTTAGAAAATCAAATTAAACTCTTAAAGCTACCACGCAGGACAACAACCGTATTTGTGAGTCAAGAACACACTGTACATGTGTGAAGCTCTGCTCTCCAAACACTTGACAGCAGTGGAATATTAATGTAATCATATCTGAACACACGGCCCACTGCTCACTTGTCACTAATGAGATAATTGATGCTCTAATGTTGCTTGGACTTATCTTTTTTCCTTGGTTATGAAGTGATGTATATACATATATAAATATGTACATGAAATATGTCTAATAGTCTTGTTCATCTCATGAAGATGATTCTGATTCACATCTTTAACACATACTGTAAAAACACCCTGTGCTGCACATCCAAACCTCCCACCGTCCTCTCTCTCTCTCGCTCGCTCTCTCACAGTTGCACTAACACACAGTCCACACACATTATTATTTGCACACATGGCAGGAGCATAAAATACCATCTCAACGCCCAGCATGTGTTGGTGGAGGCTTCAACCTCAGGTCAGATGCCTGGCCTGCGTCAGACCAGCCTCAGCGAGCGGAGGGCAGTGTGGAAGTCTAGGGCTGACAGGCTGACTGACACGATTGTCAAACGGATTTCGCGGAGACCGTAGACCGATCGATATCGTTGAGGACAACGGCCTCGTTGGAGTTCTGGGGAAAAACAACGTTTGATGCGTTGGAGGTAAACAGCAACGACTAAAACTCACGAACTCTAGAACCTAAAGAATTCTACGTGGTCGTGACGTAGTTCAGGACGATTTGAGTTATAGTTTTTATTTAACATTTTCCCACATTAACGAGTCCATAATTTGGATGAGTCATAAATAAATAAAAGGTGTAAAAAAAAAAACACTTGCTATTTATCATTCTGTTCCAAGAATATCAAGAAAAAAAAAAGGGTGTTGTCAAATCTAAAAATGTTGATCCATCCTCATCAGTCATGATGAATTGTGATAAATTAGGATCGTGATTAATCGTGATTAATCCACAGCCACCGTGTGATTAATCAGGTTTTCGGTGCCGAGCGTGTGTGTTTTTTTTCCAATTCCATTTCTTGACGCCAGCGTATTTTTCAAGGGTTAAAAGACCTTTCAACCTCAAGTGAAGTCATTCATTCCCGTGTGTGAGCAAGGTGCAGGTGATTCTTTAAATCTTGGAAAGAGCCACTTCTATCTGAATGAGTGAGCACATTTGAACCACTTGACAGTATAATCACTTTCTCTAATTGCCCACTGTGTGGCCAACCCCGGGCCCTGGAGATGTCCCTCTGACTTCTATTTAATGTGCCACATTACCATTAACGAACTAACTACTTGCAGTCTGTAGGCAGGGCTGCAGCAAAGGAGCAAGGGAGAAACATCCATAAATGAGCTGCAGTGCATGTGCCCAGTGTGGGATTAGGTGTGCATGTGAGAGTGTGTGTGTGTGTGCATGTGAGAGTGTGTGTGTGTCAGCAGTGGCAGCAGAGTTTCTGAGGGTTTGCGCAGGGGCCACTTGGACAAAAAAGTCTGTTAATGGCCTTGACGCAGGTCATGAAAAATTAAAAAAGGGGAACAGACAATGGGGTCTGCGGCAGAGAGAGGGGCTCATTAAAATTCATGCCATATTTTAAAGTGATCTGATTCATAAATTAGGCACGGGGTTTTTTTTTTTTTTTCTGCCCTGGTATAATCAGAAGATGCAAATGTGATATCAATATCACTCAGCATGCATATAATTCTCCCCTTTTCTGCCCCTCGTGCCGCCACGGCCGGCTCCCTTCTCCGTCACCGTGGAGGTGCACATGTCCCGCTGCTGCCTCCTGCTGTCACGACCCCTCTCCATTAAGGAGAGATGAGTAAGCCTTACCTGCCTTCAGGTGCTCTGTCTTATCTATCAGGGTCAAAGGTCTCTGTTTGATCTCCTCCTCGCTGCATGATGGAACCTTCTCCTCGTTTTTACTTCTATTTCTGTAGCGGCCGGACGCAGCATCTGGACGGGAGTCGTGAGAATGAGTCGCCGTAACCCAGAGAACCACACCGTGATGTATTCAACGCCGGGCGGAGAAGGTACTGCACATAGTTTACCTGGTGATGTAAGACCATCTGCTCCTGCTCGGAGGACCACCGGCTTCTTTGATTTCTGCCTGTCAGCTGGGGGATGAGGCTGCGTCCTGCCAGGTGTTCCTACATATACAAACTTTTATCATTAGCAAAGCATCCTGAAAAGGGAGTAGTCAGACAACCGTGTTGTTCAAGGTTAGCGGAAGCATTTCCTTGAACACTTTTTTCTTTCTTTCTTTTGAATCCGAAATCCTATTAATCAAGCCTTCCACCAAAGTGATGCTTTTCAAGGATTTTTTGTTTTGTTTTGTTTCAACATTCAAATGACAAAACTTTCCACTTCTTTTCTAGGTCAAGGATGGGGTACACACGGGCGAAACAGAAAGACAAACAGTCATTCAACTGAACATTAACCTACAGGTTTATGGACTGTGAGAGAAAACATGCAGCATCCATACATTAAGGCCGGGGTTCCCAACACCCGGTTGGGGGACCGGTATCGGGCCGCGGTGGGACTCAGTGAAAAATATGTACGTTTGTACAATGAAATGTAGTTTTACTAATTTACTTTATTTAAAAATAATCTAGTAATTCAGACTCTTGATAGTAACTGAATTTGAAAGATATTTTATTTATTATCAAAAAGTAAATATCCTACAATGGCGTGCTATTACTGGTCCACAGTTGACCAGACATTGGTACAAAAAAGATAAGCTAACTACGTTACTGGTTTATAATAATGTATAATAATGTTTTGGTTTATAAAGGTCTCAAACCCTAAGTTGATGTTTCCAGTTTAGTTGTAAATCCACTGACAGGTATTTTAGCTCAGAATATTTGAGCGAGCAGCTAAACTGTGGCGTTCCTCAGGGCGCGTGTTTCTTGGACGACTCTGGTTTTTTAATTTACATACTGCCTCTTGGACACATTTATGAACCGGATGTTTGCTCTCACATTCAAGTGGACCGAACCCAAAAGTACTTCACGTTCAACTACAATGAGCCTGAAGCCATCGAGACGCTTACCAACAGCATTAGTCACATCCAAAGCCTCGTGGCGGCTAACATGTCACACTTATAATTCAAACCATACGCACACACACACACACAGAACAAGTTCCACTTCAGTCTCTGAATATTTCTAATGAATTGCCTCAGTCATTATTTCAGTGAGACAGTTTTGATTAATTCAGATTGTGAGATTTTTAGAAAGTGACAAAATTTTTTTTTTCTCAAGTAGCAGAAACCACAGTGAGACATTAACACATGCATTTATTTAGCATCTTTAACAACAACGCACCCTCCAGTTACAGAGGGTCCACAACGCCGTGTGAACAAAGAGCATATGAGCCTCGTTTGAGCTTCTCTTCAGTGGCTCCCAGTTAAGTTTAGCATTGATTTTTAAATTTTAATGATCACTTTTAAAGCACTTTCTGGTCTTGCTTGCTTGAATATATTGTCGCATCATTGAGGTCCTGATCAAAAGGCTTATTAATGATTCATAAAGCAGGCTGTGGACCAGGGGATTAGACTGGCTTACCACCATCTTTTCATCACTGGAAAGAAATCTTGACTCTGAGCAATTTTTGTTTTGGAAAAAAAAAAATCTATACCCATTGCCCGTCGTTCCCCAGCCACCTAGTGCTGATTCAAGGCTCGGATAAATTAGGACGGTTGCATCAGAAGGACATCCTGTGTAAAAATCTGTGCCAATATCACTTTGCAGAATATGAGCTCTGGCTCCCTGTGAACGAGGTGAACATCCTTCCTTTACTTTATCATTACTATTACTATTATTGCTATTTTAAAGGCCAACGTAGCAGTTAAAGTTAAGTCAAAGTCCCCGCGGAGGAGATCGATTTAGAAATCTCATTATAACTTATAATTTGCTTTCAGATAAAGTAACTTATCAAAAATAATGCACATAATTGCACGTTTATTCTATCCCTAAAGTCTTGCACAACTGTTACATTTACGTAACCAGCCCAGTAGGTGGCAGTAATGCACCTAAAGTTCCTTTACCAGCAGCATAAACGACACAAAGGCAAGTTTCTGTGGCATTTGACATCCATTTGTGGCAGTGCTGCCACCCACTGGTCATTTTGTTCTTCACCTCTTTCACTTTAATTTACTGTTGTATGAAAACAGTGGGGAATAAGAATGTTTAGTACTAAGACACGTTCACATTTTTTATCTACCTGTTCCTTTAAGACCAGCGTTAACTGTGTTGCCTTAGAACTTTTCAAAATAAAAGTGTTCGTTAAACATTTAATATGTGAACGGGCATAAATAATATAAATAAGACTAAAGACAGAAAGATACAGAAATCTTAATAAAAGTTACCCGTGTGATCCTCTGGTGAAACGCTCTCACTCTGGCAGCCGATGCTCTGAACTTCCGCTGGAACGCCTTGGCTCCGTTCACTGACTGACGCCTCCTTTGAAGAACAGAGGACGATTTTAAACAAACATATGCTCCGTTTAAAGCAACGTCTATTTATTCATTTTAAATAAAGATTTATGCATTTACCATATCAGAGATTTGGAGTACACTCCTAGTCATTCTGCCTGAGGCTAAGCTGCTTTTTCTTCCGGGCTGTGGTGGTGCGGCTGCTGAGGGTTTGAAGCCCGAGGCAGTGTGTAAAACACTCGGTGTCCTCACCCGATGATTACTGCTTGATGTGGCAGCGTTTGACTGATCGGGCACTTGAAAGAAAGTCCAGGTAGTGAATTAATGTCAATGACGTCATATATATAAAACAACACTCACAGTCAGTGATGATAACAACTCCAAAGTATTCTCAGAGCCTGTGTTTTTTTTGTGTGCATACATTCCCCACATTAAGTAGACGGCACTGGGTGCACTAACTAAGTACACGACTGCAGGCTCCTGCTGGTTTTAAATCATCTTGTCCAGGACTCAGGAGGTATCACTGCAGTGTCGTGGCCTTCAGCACAGATCTGTGAGCTGCACATGGTCTGGAGCTGCAGCCCATTGATCAAACATTCATTTACATATTCAACAAATAAAGTCAACGCAAATAAAGTCAGACCAGTAAAAATCCTCATTTCTGTGCTGTTTATCCCTCCGTGTATTCCACTACGGTCAGTGTTTCATCAGGAGGAAATAATGGGCTGCCATGGAGACGGTGACATAACCATGAACTGACCCTCTCATTAGGACAAGTCCTTCACCCAGAAAACATTTGTCTGTCTGCACTTGAGTAGAGTATACACAAACAACTGTCCCCAAAGAAACAGGGAAAAATACCAGGTGAGACGGACAAAGAAACAACGTGTGTGATCAGAGTGAGAAGGAAATTAAACGTTTAAACATTGGAATTAAACACTGAACACTTGTCAATAAGTTTCGGGGGGAAGATTTCAAAGCCTGCAAAAATCTGTGGTTAGCCTGGGGTAAAAAAAAAAAAAAAATACCATAAATTTCGAGAGCGAAAAAAAACACGAACTTGTAAAACCGTGTCACGATGAAGAGGATGTTAGAACGTTAGGGTGACAAAAATGGCAGCAGCTGACTTCTAACACAGTCTGACAGCCTGTTTACTCAGGAAACAATATTCACAAAGCAATTTTTATCACAGTTAAATTGGATGCCTACTTTAATAGCAATCATTCTAATTATGATTATGAATGTTATGCTAATAATGTGCATGCTAATTACCAAAAGCTATTTTTCTTCCTTTGGCTGCTGGTTTCTGCTCTCCGTGGACATTGCCTGTTGACTCAACATGACTAGGACAGCTGTCAGAACAAATAAATAAGCGCTGATAAAAAAAGGCCATAGAGGCGAACGGAACTAGATTACTGGTGCATGCCTTTTTGCATGAGGAGATAATTGCAGCGCACGGAACAGGTGAGGTGCAAATGAACACAAAAATGAGGATCACAAGGAGAAAAACAAATCGATTACCATCAAATCTCTTTGGAGAAAAACACTCTGCTCCGCCATGCCTCTCTCTCTCGGGTGGGCGGATGTATTTAAAATTCACACCTTGAATATTCAAAGGTTAAGACCCCATTTCTCTAAAACTACTGCGATGCAACACTGGAGTCGCACTAAAAGGGCAAAAAAATTGTGTGGACACCTGCACAGACTGAGAGGACACTTCATTTAATACACTACATTCTTTGGAGTGTGGTATAATTATGAAGTGAGTGCATTTCATGAAACAGTCAAACTGCGTAGGCCACAGATGTTGGATTGTTAAGTCTGGGTGGATTGTTTTTCCCTCTAAATGCATTGGTTCAGGTCAGGGCATTTGTTTCCACAATTGCTTTTCCTTTTCTTTCCTTTGTCATTTGTAAACAGCATTTGTTTTCTGCACAAGGACTTTATTATTTTCAAACACTCACTTTTCCCCCCCACAATGTAGCGCAGTGCCTACACAAAAGAAACCAAACACAGACCTACGAAAACTATGGAAAATAATGATCTGAAACTTTGGACTATGAACAATGCCTGTTTGTTATGACTGTATTAAATATATTTAGTGTGTGGAGTTCATAAGCCTTCATTTGGATGTTACCTACCACGTTCAGAGCTCTTATGAACTATCCTCACGTCTGTCTTCTGCAAATTCTTCATATTCAACACCTGTGTTACGTGGATCAAACCAGCCGGGAACTGGCAGCTGCGTGGAATCTCATCCATGAAACCAGGTCCGCTGAGAAACACCACTAAAATTTAATCACATAAAGGTGTCATTTGGGTGAAATGTTTACTAATCAACAAATTCAAATTACAGGTGGATTTTCAGGTTTGCGAGCACTGGCTGCACATTATCAATAGGTACATATAAAACACCAACACCAAAAATACCAAATATACATATGATATATTTAATTAAAATTATAAAAATTGCCATACATACATACATACATACATGATATATTTAATTAAAATGATAAAAATTAGAGACTTGAGGTGTTTTACCTTCATCCGTCACCAACGGCCCGGTTTTCATTGTGAAGATTCGACGGATTTCACAACTAGCAAACACAGTGATGCCATCAAGTGACGAAAACCCCTTGAACAGTCCAGTGGAGATGGACACCAGGTCGATGCACAAAGTGGACCACTGAGACAGTAAAACAATATGAATGGACACTCTAATCCTCGGGGAGACATGTACACAATCTACATGAAGTAATTAGCAAAGCAGTAGATCTGAACACTCACACATTCCCGTTTCAGGCCCACAAAAGGTACCCTGGCGTGTAAAAGAGTGGCAGTCAGCTCCTTATGCACTGTGGATAAGTGAAGTCTCCTCTTCAGGTGCTCCAAGTCAGTTATTCTGCGATTGTGATGAATAAAACAGATCAGAACGTAAATTATGGCCAACATCAGCTGTGTCATTAAATAAGTCCTGACCTGCAGGGGCTTAAAGCTAAAGTGACCTTTAAAAACATTAAACTTGAACTTCTGAATGAGCCGTCATAAAAGGATTTTTAGATTCTAAAACGGGGGAACAAGAATGGAAGTGCACGTGTTAATGAGTTTCCCGCAGAAAAGAAGTCGTCTACTGTAAATATAAAGGGAACCGATTTGGCCGCATGTAGTTCTTAATCTGCTCATTAATGAAAAATGAATAAAATAATAATAATAACAATAGGTATGTTGAATTTTTTAAAAAGAAAATGCAATCAGTCTCACTAAAGTTGGATGGAAGAATGATGGACAAATAAATGGATGGTGGATGACAGATGGATGGATGGATGGTGGTTAAAAAGATGGATGGTTGGATAAATGGATGGTGGATGACAGATGGATGTATGGATGGATACACTGGTACACATAATACACAGATTGGATTTAATATGGATGGATGGATGGGTGGTTAAAAATATGGTTGGATAAATGGATTAATGGATAGACTTACACAAGCTCCAGGGAAAAGTCCTTGGTCTGGGGGATATTGACTTGAAGGACCAAGAATCTTTGATGCAGCCCAACTGAGGAAGAAAAAAAAAAGAGCCAAGAAGAACTATTAGGTCAAAATGGGAAAAAACGGAGTGTATATAAAAAAAAAAAGCACAGGACTGAAAATGACTTACGAGACATCTTCCTATTCTCCGGCATTTGCATCTTGACAGTCTGGCTGCTTCCTTTCAGACAGTAAACAAACCCTTTGACTTCTTTATTATACTCCTGAGGAAAGAAAAAAAACAGAGAAGGCCTCAGGCCGTGCTATTTTGCACCCCTATTACGATGCGTGTATAACATAAATATCAGCTAGAGCTTTTAAAATAAGTAATGTTCAGGGCCGTCAGGAATAGAAATTTGACCATCAACCCCTCCAACGATTCAATTCGATGACAGAATAACACTGCAATCTCCCTGATTTTACAGGGACATATACTCTCTCACTGTCTGATTCCAGCATCTCACTTGGATCTCACTTGGAATTCTTAACATCCCACTCTGGACAGGAGGGCTCTGGGATGACTCCCATGGGCGCCCATAAAGATGTGATGTAAATATAAAGCAGCAGACATGCTTTTATTCAGCATACTATTTTAGAATCAGTTCACAGTTCATTTGGGGACTTTCATTCAGTTCTTCACTATTCCTAAGAGTTTCATGGTGAGATAATGGGATCACAGTCTGTGAGCCCCGCAGGCCTAGTTTTACTTACAGGACACGTTGACCAGTAATTCATTCATTTATTCTACCTCTACCATGGACGGGTCACAGAGGCCACGTATAGAGACAAAAACAGTTCACACTCACACCGGTCATTTTAGACTTCCTGATGAACCTCGCTGATAATTTTCATCTTTTTAAGTTTGGAAACCAGAGTATCCACAAACCAAATACATACAAAATCATACAGAAATATACAATAGGCCACCTGTATAAGTCAGGATTTCCAAGTTGCTCCAGAAGCACTGAGTAGGTTTCAGACTCAGTAATGATGGTACCAACATCACACCAAGCAAGAAATAAATGGTGTTTCAGTCACATGAGATAGTGTTGTTTTGGGCCTTATTTCTTTGTATACCGAGGCAGGAAATTGTCAATTTCGCCACTTCACGTATTTTGTGGTCAAACCAACACCATCAGGGACCCAAAAGCTCACTTTTTAATATTTTCAAAGCAAAACATCACTCTGGTTTTTACCTTTTTAGGGCACTTTATTGGAACAGAGTGGGCATTCATCTTGAATCCACAACAGTATGCATTTGGTTAGTGGACACAGTTAATATGACAAAACACTCTGGTGTTGACTATGTAAATTAAACTACAGTGCAAATACAAATTATTATTCCTTATTTGACAACAAACGTTTCTTTTGTGAGCTTTTAGTACAGGGTACCAACACAGCTTTTTGCACAGCTGCAAGCCTCTGAAGGATCCAGCATCTTTAGGGTCTTGGGACCCGAGAGACAGCAGGAGCTGCGAACACCTGCTTGCTCCTCATCAGTGGCTTTTGGGAAACTTCTGTTTTAATTTGTCTGACAGAAACTTTCTTTAACGAGCCATATCTGACCAAACTAATCTCCCCTCCGCAATACACGTTCATCTTTTTTTAGTTTTATAATCTCCGTAAAGTCTAATGAAGTACCATATGCATTCATAGTTTTTGCAAGACATGATACAATTTAGCATTCTTCATCCTCGGAATGATCTTCCATTTCCCCCGTGTTGCATCATGCTCCATAATGTGGAACAATCTCCTTTAAAGGCAAGTATGCAGTCATTTCCTATGAAATATAAACCAGTGAATTATACAAAATTAATTCCCCTTATCATTTTTTAATTGGTCACGGAAAGTGTGAGATGCTAAATTCCTCCGTTTTTCCTTTCTTTTGCAAGTGATTGAAACACTTGATTTGAGTGATTGAAACAACATGGTGGCAGTAACAACAATCCAGTGGAATTAGAGACCAAAAGCACAGGACAAAAACAATACAGAGTTGAGTACAATTAGCATAACCTAAAAAAATATTTGATTATCTGATAACTGACTTAAGTTCAGGTCTGGTAAATTTACGTTTAAGTTTTTAAAGCAACTCAGAACATGTTCTATAAGGCAGTGTCAAGATGCACAGTGGTGACTGAAATCCACCGACTCCATAAAACTGACTAATTTTATTCTGACTAATCAGAATAAAACTTACTTGTTTGACAGTCCTGATAGCTGTAGTCAGCTTTACATTGTAAATAGAACATAAGCTGTTTAACAGTACCTTGTACAGTAGTTGGTAGGGCAGCATTCACACTCTACGACTAGTCACAGACTAAATATACGATAATTTCACCATTCCGTTAACGTGTAAAATATGGTTGTAATTAGCGAGGCTCAACTATATGCCGTGTGTTTTTTGGGTTTTTTTTTGTGAACCCTGAAGGCATCTGTTTCCATGCGAAAACGTTTCCATCCAATTGTACTTTTCTAAATTTGCGCTACGAGTGACGTCCATGTTCTTGCCTCAGAACAACGACAATGATTGGCAGAGTGGTTTGCTGCGCCCGCCAAATGAGACGAGAGAATGGGAAAGGAAAGAAGAAGGGAAAAAAAAGAATAAGCAACGGAAAATGAGACGAGGAGAAGCAAAGACAAAGTAAGCATCGTCCGATAATACGATGTACAGTAAATTTCCTTAAAATACGATAATTGTATACCTCTGGTACCATAATCGTACATTTTCCGCCTGGTAACACCGAGGCACGCTAACCGGGCCGTACTAATCACACGGTCAGCCGGCGGCCATTTTAGCTGTCATGTCTGTCCCGCGTAGGCTAGCTGAAATATCAAACTTGCCTTCTGTATGGCTGAAGGCCCTCCAGATAGTTTCCATTGAGCCACGGGGTCTTTTCCCTGTGCGCTAAAGATCTCCACAACGGCTCCACCCTGCACAGAACATACACACCGACATAAGCCACAATAACAACACAGGTATTTGGTTTATTAGCGCCACCCTCGACTCAAACGAGTCGCTCCGATACAGCTGTTAACTCACCTGATAATTACGACTGAACATTTTTACGACACTTTACGGCAACTGTAATCCAGGCAGTTGGACACTAGAGTCGTGTCTTTTGCAGGAGTAATTTAAATCAAATGTAGGGTTAGACACATAAATGCTGTAGCTTAGCTCAGTTTTCACGTCGTCCACTGTCGTTGGTGCAGCGGTCTAAACATGGCCTCCACAGTTTCTGCTCCCCAACGTCCGTCGGGCGGGATGACACATGTCTGACATGACAGAAATTACTGTTTAGCCGCAGAACAAAGTCAGAATTTGACTTGTTTTTATCAACTCCAGTGACCTGTTGTCGTCCCCACTGCACCTGTGCGAGGAGACCGACGTAGCAGCTGAACACCATGGCAACATGACGCTGAACGAGGAAGTGTGGAGGTTAAAACACACGGCGACTGACGTTTCCTCCTTTTATCACTCAACGAGAGCGTCTATGATCACGAGCTGTGATCCCAGCCCCGAGGAAGTAGAGACACACTGGTAGGAAATAACTCCTGTTCATCAGAGACCCATCAATGTCTGTTCTCTCTGTACATTGTGTGCGTGTGTGTGTGTGCGCCAGCGAGTTCTCACCATGACAACCTTAATTAACACAACGGTGTAAAAAAAACAAACAAAACTAAAACGTTTGACAACCGTGGGCAGTTTAAAAAACTAAAAGTAGAAAAAGTTTTAACACTTAAGAGTAGTGTTTCAAACAGTTCAACATGAAGCATTATTGTCTTTTTATGTGAGTAATAATAATGACAAAACTCTATGAATCTTAATTTTTAAATTTGACTAATTATTTAACCATTTGGATTTGTCACTAAATGTGTGAAACACATAAATCCATATGTTGTTATTTGTCTTGATTCTAGCAGTATACTACATTTTCCTATTTAGGAATTTTGATTCATCTTGATTAATCATGATTAACTAATCTGAGTAAAAGCTATATTACTGTGTGATGCTTTTAAACTGCAATATTCACAACAACAACAACAAAAAAACTAAATTCCTTCCTGAAATTGAAAGACGTTATCTTACTTCAGATTACTATGGTCTGGGAACAGACATTAAAGTGCTATGATTTTCCTAAACAGTGCTCAATAATAGTGCTTTCATGGTGATTTAAGTTTGGTCTGAATTTTTTTTCATGTTGCTCAAAGCAAAAAAAAAGGAAGAAAGTAGGATCTTGCGATGGGGAGGATGGGGGATGGTTGACGGAGAGATAAACAATAAATGACTGCAGTTTTTTTTTTTCAGTGTTTTGAATTTTTTTTTTTCATTACCAGCCTACCATAAACATGGATATACATCATAGTCGTCTACAGTGCTCAACAGAGTAGTTAAAAATAGATAGGTATTAAAGTTTTATTTTCCATTGAAATGCAAAAATCCATTATTGTGTCATTGTCACTTGCTTTGTTTACCCAGACAGCAGGACTATTATGAGATCAGAAAGATGCCTTTTAATTAGCTACTGAGGGAGACTTCATCAGAATGAACGGCTGTATGGCCTACTGCTTATTAAAAAGTTTTCATATAACTGACTTCAAACGCATGACTTAGAGCGAGTTGTCAGTTATTTATGGATATAGCACAGAAGCAAATATGAAAATAAATCCGTCTAGTTCTACCAAAGATTGTGTTTTATTGTACTCTAGCAAATGACACTAAAAAGTTAAATGTTACCCAGGGTTTTTTCTTTTACCTTTTTACTTATTTATCACTTTGTTATAAAACATGTAATGTACATGAAAATTATAGTAAAGGCTTTTATGAAAATGTATCAGACTAGTAGAGACACGTAGAGTCTATAGTTTATTTGTACATATGCATTTATATGTTTTTATTCACAACCTGTAAATATTAGATAGTGGTTTTACCTCTAACCAGTGTTTGTTTTTTTCAGTCACTGCACACATTTTACATTGGAAGCATAAAAACAACACCAGCAACACGACCCACACAAAAAAAGGATCTTTTAGTTGCAATTTCCTAACAATTTACTTAGTCAGTACAAAATCTGGGGCTGTTTAAATCAACCCTGATATTTTTGCAGGAATTGAAGAAATTTCTATATTCTTTTATGGTCATCGGCTGCCACCGAATATTTTATTGTTCTGTCAGTCATCAATAAACAAAGACAAACTATTTGCACTAAATAATAATAAATTATCTAATGCATTGTAAACCACTAATACATGTCTTTTTTTAAGACCATATTAATCAATTACAGAGTCTTTTTGTGAATGTCAGGCTGTGTTTGTTTTGGCTCAGCTCTTGTGCAGAGGAAATAAAAAAATGAATGTGACAGTAGAGAGATGAAAGTAAGGGGGGAGAAGGGGAGTCGCGAACTAGGTTATATTCAGATGTGTATAAAACCCACACAGTTGACACAACTGTGTGGGTTTATATAGGGATTTATATTAGAAAGCAGTCCAGGTTGCACTGTTAGTAATAATGTTCATAGTAGGTTTAAACACAGTCTTTACCAGGTCTTCAGATGAAATCTCATTTTACTTTTAAAAATAAGACTACTGGTAAACTGCTAACATCAGAGGTTTTGAATTAATTTAAGTGGAGTTCTCCACAAAAAAGTGACTTGCAAATCCTTGGCGACCTACTTCCTCTGGGAAACACTTTTTTTCCTCTTTTCTGTGGCGGTCTTTAAGCTGCTTCATCCTTGATGGAAGCAATCATTCTGGTTGTTGTGCTGGGGAGCCTTATCTCGTCCATCTTCGGGCTGATTGCCTTAGCAACCGCCGTGTGGCCATCAGTATCAGTGTCCTCCACACATTTCTAAAGATACGTTCAATGGTGCCAGTTTGGGGAAATAAAGGACATGCTGGAGTCTCCACCTCTTCCCATAAAAAGAGATCTAATGGCCTGGGTTTGACATTGTACACCCACTAGATCAGGAATTCTATCCTCTTGGGGTTACACTTCCATTTCCATTGCATTGCCTGTCCCCACTTTATACTGGCATCTTGTTTTACGCGTTGTCATTACATTACCTACACTCAACGATCCCCTCTTTGGGTTCCATGATGTTGCAGGTGTTTCCTTGCTTGTGCAACCATAGCCTGCTCCTCCATGTTGTTCTACCCGTACAGCCCAGGTTTTCTCATGCTCTCTGGTAGTCTTAGCCATCTGCACAGGTTCCGCTGCCCTGCTTGTGTTGTAGTCCTTTCAACAACCTTTTATATGATCAGAAGCCAGAGGGTTATTAAGATGAGTACGTACCAGTTGACCTAGGCCTTGAACTTCCCAGCCAATCCAAAGCATTCAAGCTAGTTGATGGTTGTAAGCCACAGCTCCTGATCCTCATCAGCGGTTTTGATGGAATTTCTGTCAGACAGCAGCCGAAAATAGACTTTTAGCATTTGTTTTGGTGACAGATTTGGCAATGAAATCACATCCTGAACTGAAATGGGAATGGATTCGAGACAGTTAAAAGCCTATAACACCACAGGAAACAACAGGCACAGAGGAACTATGTTGATTAAACTATCTCCGTCTCCCACTTTCTCTCTCTGTCTCTGCCTCTAGAATATATATATATATATATATACAAATCTGTAATTGCTCCATATAGTTTGTCTAAGCATTGAAAGTTGTTTTTTGTCTAAAATGTCCTTTTAATTCTGAAAAGAGATAAAAAAAAATGTCTTTGCAAAGCTGCAATAACTTTTATAGGTTTATGTTTGGATAAAAGGTTGGTACTAAATTTTCAGTACTGTTCATTTACGAGTGAATCTCTAGTCAAATTAGTCAAAGAGCATAACCAAGAGAGGCATATATGTATATGTGTGTGTGTGTGTGTGTATATAGGGATATATATATACACACACACACACACATACACAGCATCAGTTATTACCACTGCCCAGATCAAGGACTTTTCAACATCAGAAAGGTACAGAACTGCCAGAGGGCACCATAGCAGATGGTCAAGTAAGCTACAAATACCTTGATTTTTTTTAAATAAAAATATGTAGACAAGTTGCTGTCTAGGTGTCATGCATGCTAAGTTGTAGACATTATTATAAAGAAATGATAATACGCCAACAGAAACAAATGCTAGGTTGCTCCGTAAATATGCAAAGGGAAGCTGGAAGTAACGGATAACATCCGCAATGCATCAGACAAACTACAAGCATATATTTGCACACGGACCACCAGATTCACTGAGCATCTGTATGAAACACTGCTCAGGGCTTAGTGCAAATGGATTTTCTGATGAGATGGTATCAAGTGTCATAGTGGAATTTTTCCTGCAGTTCATATTGTACAGTGGATGGTGTGCATTTGAAATTCTTTTGTGTGGTTCTCCTTATCCCAATAAATATGCAGTAGTCTAAATGAAGGAGGGTGGTTTTTTTTTTAATCACCCTCGTGCATTATAAAACAATATACCACCTGTTCACATTACGGTGCATCAGCATAACATTGTGTTGATCTTCACAATAAAAATGCTATATTCCTCTCATTTTCACATAGATTAGAACCCACACTTTATAGAATGATGGTACTTAGTGGATGATTCAAAGGCATCCAGCAGTGAAAAAGCAAATTGCACTCATCTGACCCCCTCCCCTTCACACATACAAGACTCCAGAGTAGCCAAAACAAAGAGAACTATATTTAAACATTTTTTGGGGAGGTTTACCTACAATATTTAATAAGACTATAAATCACAGCATCTTTAAAATGATCACTGAACAGCCTACGTTTTCAAATGGAATAACGAATAACCCTACATGTTAACTTTAAATACATTTTTTTCCATCGCTGTGTAAATGTGCCCTTTTCTTCTGTCTACAACATTCACAGATAAGAGGAAACTGCAGTGAGTCTGACCACAAGGTTGCGCTGGACAATCATAACAAACATTAGCTGACAGTACTAAATACTGACGTTAAATGACTAAATGATTATGTGCACAATTTTTAACAAACTTAAGGTACAGTACTGCCACCTACAGGGCTGTGGTGTGAGTAACAGTTTAAGTTGCAAAAATGTAGGAATATGAAAAAAGATGTGATCAAATCCAGCATCTTTTAACACATCAAGTCCCAGTCCTGCTACATATAAAACATTACTCTTAGTCTTTCATTGCTAAGTAGAATGATAGTGTTACAAATGACCAAGGGTGTAAAAGAATTTTAGTCAGGTTTCTAAATTAACTTTAATGGGTGTGAATAGACTTTGCAGACAAATGCAACATTTTCAAACAACCATTTATCTACTTAGTGTCTGACCAGCAGTAAATAAAGTACGAAATAATATTGCATTTGCAGTTGGTACTAAAGTATTTTTCCTTGTGAAGATAGGGTATCTGTAGCATCCAGAGCAGTACAGGCCTTGGATTTACCATCAGGTCCTTTAGAGCTTTATTATCACATGAAATAAATAAAAAAATCAATAACCATGGCATTAAGTGAAAGGTTATATCTGTCTGTTTTCCCTTGTTTTAACACTGATTAGAGCAG